CACTTCGAAAATTCCGCTGCTTTGGTATAGTCTTTTTGTGTTTGCAAAAGTAATCTGCACAAAACACTCGTTCGGAGCTCCAGGACGTCTTCGTAATGTATACATAAATAATAGAAATTAAACCCCAACTGATGGCATATAATTGCCAAGTGAAAGAACTACTGGGTGCACACGTGACAAGTCCGAGGCTGAGGAGCTCACTCACTGCAAACGTACATTTGAAAAGAGAGGTCATAACTGAGGCTGTCGGCAAAGCTTGATCCACGTCAAAGGAAGAAAGAGGGAAAGTCTCCAGACAAAAAATTGTGGTCAGCGGCCTTCGAAAAAGACTTTCCGGAATCGCACTGTCGTCCCTCCACGCGCTGATATGAAAGCACCCGAGCTTCTACCACGTGGTTCATGACACAGCCTGAGCCATGTCGGCGACCGGTTCGCGAGGGGTTGGCGGTGGGGTTACGTTGATGGTCACTCGGATTAGCCCTTGCTGTACTGAGCTACCGCCTGCAGTGCCTTATCGCCGGCTGGTGTCAACAACGAGAACACACACACCCTGTCTACACCAAAACTACAAGCGTTCACCGCACACGCGTCGCCGCCGCTTCTAAGCTATTGTGAAATTGCTTTCTTTTGCCGCGGAGAACCGCCTTATCTTAACTACGCGCCTGAAATCCTTCCAGGCGGGCGTACACAATATCAAGCGTTTCGAGAAATGCCCGTGGAGTAGAACTATGGGAAGATTCGGAGCCCGCGATGTCGATATCGTCGCCGTTGTGTTAGTACGCCGTCGCGTACTGCAGTCCCCCGTTGGGGGAGGGGGGGGGGGCGGTCTTACTACGATAACATGGCGACAGCGTTTACACTCTATGTATTTACGCGAGGCTCGAGTATTTGGGGATAATGCTGCCGGTTGGTGTGCCCCTTTGTGCCTGATATTATCGCCCGTGACGCCAGCGAGTGAGATGGCGACAGGCATGACTGCTCAGTAAACAGGCGTCGGCGGCCATGTTTTGTTGGTTGAAGCGAACCCCCTTGTCCTTGACAGCGAGCGGGGAAATGCGAAAAAAAGATTGTATCGGCCGTTTTGCCAGAACTAGCGACGAGTGTCGTCTGCGGTTTCCGTCAACTATTTTGCCATAATCGTGAGCTTAGCGAGGAAATGATTTTTGCTAGCCACAGAACACTACCACGCAGAAAGAGAATGCTTGAACATGTTTTTGTTCTGGATATATATCAGGGATATATATGAGAGAGAGAGAGAGAGAGATGAAGGTAGAGCGGAAGAGGGAATAGCATATAGTGTCGCAGGAGAATAAAGTAAACAAAGTTCCTAGTGGCCGATGGCTGCATGATCTTTTCTCGGATCACTAGTCCGTAATATGATACCCCTTTGTACACAGTAGTTTCTCCTTAATTTAAGTGTGTGAACGATTTCTTTAGTTATCATTGGCCTCATCTGAATAAAAATATATAAAAGATGTGTGTTGGTTTCATGAAACTGGAACTCAGAGTCAGTTCTTGTATAAAACACTGCTAAGTGTGGGCTTTGAAAAAGGACCCTACTTTGGGGAGTTGTATCTTCTTTCTCAATAAAATGATGCAACATGTTTTTAATGGAAATGAATGCCGAAATAGAGTATAACAGGTTACCTAAATTTAAAAAAAATCGAGGGTGGTGTTTTTTTTTATTCGCATCGGAATTTTTCTTTGTTTGAATTTTTTTCCATGTTTGACTAAATATATCCTAACTATTGTATCACACAGATACCTTAGTTATTTTTTAAATATTAGCTATATATTAGTGGAATAATATCTGCAAATTATATCATAATGATTAAATTATTTCATGAGATACTGACCTCCAAAGTTTGCCATTTGTCGTTCGAGCAGCCATGTTTGTCAAGTTTTAGAAAAATAAATAAATTTTAAGTAAATATGATTACTTTATATTACAAGCACGCTATACCCATAGTTTGCGCCTAAAACGTATTAGAGTTCTCCTAATGTTATCGCTTTAGTTATTCACTCTCAAACGGGCCCCCTCCATCAGTGCGCGTTAATGCAACTGTCCACCACCTCATGCCTTACGAGTTTTCCTGTCCCCAAGTATTTTTTCTAGTCAAAACTAAGTTTGGATTCGTTCATACCAGACACTAGACAATAACATATAAAAACATCAGTTGATTTGAAAATGTCGACTAGCCATCCTTTGGTCGATCTTATCTGAAATCACCCAGCAGCAAAATATCACTCATTTAGCATGCACCATTATTTGTTCTAGCAATGTTCATAAGCCATTAAATGGAAAGGTGCAAGCGAGCTGGACAAGAATGAGGAAACTAATCCCTGGAGAAGGGGAATAAGTGGGACAAAGGACAAACACAAATCTCCAAACACAGCTGGTGCGCGACCGAAAAACTCTGCCTGGTCCGGTTATCGTACCCGGGACCTCTCCATTTTGAGTGGAGTGCTCTACCAACTGAGCTAACCAGGGGTTAGACGTCAGTAGAGCAAACGGGTTTTATCAGCTGCCACCAGTCTAACACCAACAAGGGTGAACGGCCTGCATTTTAAGGTTATGATTATAATGTAATTAAATGCAAAGGTGCAAGTGAGTTGGAAAAAAATGAAGAAAATATTCCCTGGAGAAGGGGATTATTTTCTTCATTCTAGCAATGCCTAGTATTTTGTTAGGACCCCTGAAACTGGTTAAAAACACTTCACCCAGTGTACCAAATATCCACCCATGATCTCTGGTGTTCTGAGAAAAATGGTAATCTCATACACGTTTGCAAGTAGGGCCTCAGGACGCCGCCATCTTGCTCGTTGGGATGCGCTTGGGCGCGTCTTAATCCGATTACGGCGTTTTGCTTAGACGCCGTAATCGGATTATGGCCGCGCCCTGAAAACGTATGCTCGCAAGCGTGTATAAACCAGCTCGCCTGCACCATCACTGTATTACCTAATGGCTTTCGGGGGAAGAACGCGCGCTCACAATTTTCCGTTAAAACAGCGATGGCGATATTACGTCACTGTGACGACTGAAGGTTGGTGATTTAACAACCTTGTCGAAGATTTTCTAATACGAAAACAGGAGTCAAAGTGCACCGCAATTTAAATAAGTACTCTGACATGTTCCTCTCTGATTATCGTTAAAGACACGATTCAAACACTTTTTTTTTTTGTGTGAAGGAAACTGTACATATGAACGGTGGGTCGCGCTTAATCGCACTTTAGAACACTTTACCGGACCTTCTTCACATGAAAACAACACCAAGCGGAGAAAGCTAAAAGTACGATTGGCATCCGCGGACGATGAACTGCGTTACCTCTCCCTTGCCTCTCCGCGACTCAAATGAGTCACGGAGGAGAAAGGAAAAGTAGCGCAATTCCCCTTCCGGACGCCAACCGCACCTCGAGCTTTCGCCACTGCACCAGGACCTCTGTATATGCAGGACTCTTTAAAAGCAAACTCCATAACGTACTGTCGACAACGGATAAAAAAAAGTGGCTCCACATTAAGACTAAGAACACTGATGCTTTCTTGTCAGTAGTGTCGACACCTCTAGACATTAGTTGTTTTTTTTTTTGTTTTTTCACCGATGATTGTGTTAATTGCTTACAGGTGTCCCCCGCACGCGAACTAAAGCTTTCTTTGGCAGTTTCCAGGCGGTTGGGTCTGTGTTAAGACGGAACTTAATTAATCTGCCTTTGAATGTAGCGACTTGTGATTTACTCTAGAGGGAAGAGCTGACACGGTGGAGTATAGAATTCTCGACCTGGGGTCTTTAAAGTACAGAACGCGGCACTGTTAACGCGAACAATCGCAATTGCCATTTTTATACAGAATAGGTCGTTTTCTATGAGATAATCGTCATAAACGAGTGACGCGCTGGAAGGATTTCAAAATCCAGTTTCCCTGCTAAATTTAGCAAGGGACTTTTGACGTCGTGACGACGTCAACGTAAACTAAATAACAGCTTTCCCGCTAAATTTAGCGGGGGAAATTGACGTCAATTGTGACCTGACGTCAAATAAGCAGTAAAGTAATTCAGTTTTCCCGCGATATTTACTGGGGAAAATGAACGTCACGGGACCTAAGCACTAATCCAGTTTCCCCGCTAAATTTAGCTGGGGAAATCGAAGTCACGTGACCAATGAAGTAATCATGCTTTCTCGCTAAGCTGAACGGAAAAAATAAAAATTTAGAAATAACAATAATATTTTTAGATAGTTCAGAGGGAAAAAATATTGAAGTTGGGGTTTGTGCGGGACACATTATGTGCTCTCTTTGTCAACATGCACGAACTTCCGATATAGTTTTTTTTTTTCTCTTATATATGAAGGATTTTCATAACAACGTACCAGTTTGGTTCAAAGTGCTCGTCTAAGGCACTGACCTAAGCGGTAAAATTTGACGCCCGCCATATGACGTAAAATGCCGAAATGCGAAGCCGTCATATTCGTGCTACCAGTATCGCATAGAATGCATCATGCGTTAGCGATTATTACCTAAATACGCATCGATGCAAAGGCCGTCCATATCGGAATTTGCGGGACAAGGATTGAAAGCTCCAACCCTGCAGCGCGAAATTTCCCAAGATGTGCTTACAGAGCTGTGGTGCTTTAACACTCACGGCTGCCGCCACGGGGGGCTTTACGTTAAGGAGGTGCGCTACCGGCGCTGGAATTTACGAGCAACCTGAGACTTAATTAACGCACTTTCGGCTTCGGTGGCGGGAGTGTAATTCCGCATACAGTCTAGTTTTACGCAGTTCCGGTACTACTTGATAGGTGGCGCCAGTGGGCCAGTATACTCTCTCGTCGTAAGAGGTCACAAGCGGTCGCAGCGCACTAGGTCAGACTCAAACGCAAATGTGTAAGCCAGCCTTTAGCTGACAGGTCGAAGAGTCATCTGAAAAACTCAGTAGGAGATAGTTTACTGTTTTGATTTTATTTTTCAAACTGATACCATCACTAATCACATAACAATTTTGTTTCAGTGTACATGGTGTGGATGATTGATAGGCGTGATATTACAGATATAAAGCCACAGTGCGAAACCGCCTACCAAGGCCCTGTCGATGAGCATGGCTGCAACGTGGAGAAACCCAAATATTATGCATACGATGAGACGATATGCAGTTAAAAAGCGTGTCTTTTATATCTGCTTTTATGTTGAAAATACGGGTTTGTAACAAACGTCACATTGTACCTGTATCAATAAATCCCATAAAAGCTGTGCAGTTATAAAATAGCGAGTGTGCGATTCCTTCACATTGTTATTTACCGAAATAAGAAAAAGAAAAGAAAAAAAGGCGAAATATATATATATTTTTTGGTTGTGAATATTTCTAGGGAGTGACGTTTTGGTTGTCATTTGAAATTCACTAGATTAAAAATTTAGAGCGTTTGCTTTTCGCTAAGGTTCAACTGTGTTGTACAAATATAAAAAAATCGGGAATAAATACCAACACCAAAGAGTGCTGTCTTGTCCGCCTTGAATCAACTCTAACTTAAACATGCGAAATACCACTATCCAGCTTTTTACGTTATTTTTATTGGGATGCAACCAGTTTATTTGAATACGTTCCCTCTAGCTATACTAAATTTTATTAAAAATATCACAGTCGGTGTTTACATGACAATGTTTATATCGGTCGATAATCGGTGAATGTGTTTGGCTTTTTTAAAATAATTATGTTCTTTTATTTTATGAATACTCTTAACAATAGCGATATTCGTTTTGTCTGACGACTCTATAGTGTGTCCCGTGAAAGAGTATATCAACGGGCGCTGAGAGGAAACATGAAAAGAAAAACACTACAAAACTGCATGCTTCAGACGAGAAACGGCAGGACGCGTACGCTTTATTTAAGCGATGTATTCCTTTTTCAAATGAGAATATCGCCTGACAAAAAACGTCTGTAACTTCTTTGGAAGCAGGCGAATAATGAAATGATATAAAATGATTTATTTTGTGCGCGTCCGCTTAGCCTGACGGTACTTACCATAAAGATTTTGGCGTTGCCGTTGTTCCTTTGATGGCTGTACAGATGCCATAGTTTCTTAGTCAAATTTGGAAATTTTAAAAGAGAAAATTTGTTGCTACTCCTTCTCTTAACAATACTTAAGTAGCTTTCATCCGACCGCCTCGTTACAACTGGAAACACGCTTTTAACCCCAGAAGCTATTATGGCTTTCTTCTTCAGTTTTCAAACTTTCTAAGCTAAGCGGCGAATCGAGGTGAGGTTTCTCATGGGAATGGCGTATCGTGTCTTGTCGCATGTGTGTAACCCATACGGGCTCTGGGTGGATATTCTGGGTCCGGGCGGGGTGCCGGTGGAAATTCGATCATTTTGCGTCGTTGGCGCTACAACTGGGCAGCACGAGTGTATTGGCGCCCATATTTCCTGAAATATACAGTCACGCGTTATCGGATGTGGAGGAACAAGTCACATGATATAGATTGACGTGAGCTCTAATCTTCTCAGAGCCGGTGGAGGTTGCGTGCAAGTGCTCATCACGCGTTCGTGAAAGATAAGCGTGTAAAACAATAACCAAATTTAAACACTTCCTGCCTTAACAGGGCACCGTAGAATACAGTTCTCTTTTTTTTTTTTGTATTGTGTGCTCCTTATAATACTGGGGGAACCATAAGTTACAATTTCTTTAGATTCGGAGGTGTCATTGCAGCGTTGCACTAAAGCGCGAGACACATGCGCGAAAATCCATCCGATCCGACGTCCGACCTTGCATGCGACACGACGATCCGGAACGGATCGTCGTGTCGCATGCAAGGTCGGAAGCGTGTGTCTCAAACTGTCGCGTGCGGCGATTCGGAGTGGCGTTCGGACTGTCGGATCGGACGTCGGATCGGACGATTCTGCCGCTTGACCAATGATAAGTAAGGAAGGAAGCACTGACTTGTAATCAGCCTTGAACTTTAATGTGTACTAAACAAAGTACCCCGAATATGCATCACACTGTTAAAAAAAAAAACAAAAAAAAAAAACACGAATTTACGGAGATAAGACGAATATTCTGTCTTACATCAGATCCAGTGTTTTCGTTCACAAACGGAACTGTACCGTAAAAACGCAATTGAGCTATTTAAGTAACGAACGTTACTTTCCCCAGTGTTGGAACAACACGTTACACGTTACGACCTTACTAATAACGCGTTCGTTTTTCTACTAACTTACTAACCCCTACAAAAAAACTGGGATGCTTTTCTGTTGAAAAGCTGTTGAAAAAAGTCATCATAGGATATAAAATGACAGTAGCTTTTCATCTGACTTTCTTTTGAATATTGACACACTTTTTAATAAAAAAAGTCAACAGACCTTCTGTCGCCTTCAAGATGTTTTTTCTGTAGCTTTTCAATTGGAAAGCTAAAGCTTTTTAATAGAAAAACTACAACCGCTTAAAAGGAAAACAAAATTCTTTACAGCTTAACTATTCATTCAGAAAAATTTTGGAAGCTTACTACGGATTTCCACTCTGTTTCAAAATGGCTGCCGAGAAATAACGTAAAAAAGAAAGAAAACACGCGAGTTTTGATTTTATATTATTTTTGATTTTGTCAGGAAATGGTGTCCCTGTGGTATTTCAAAGCACTAGATACATCCCACAACTACACACTGGAAACGAGCACAAACACAAACACCATGAAGCAGTAAACACCTGAATTACAGTCCCCCTTGACTGCTCCAGTACTTTATATATCCCACATATTGAAGGTAATCTTTTGGACGGTGACCACCTTAGCACTTATTAAGGTTCCAAGTATCCGATCTCCTTCTCAAGAGTCTGTCAAAGAAAAGAGTGTTCGAAGTTCATGAACGATATCTCTTGGTAAAAAGCATTGGTACAACCAATAAGTATTCAGCGCAGTGGCTAAAACAACATCCAGGAAAATGGCTCCTAGAGGAAATGATATCGCTTCTCTGCATAGCACCACTCAGGACGAAGCGAGTCAAAGCAGTTTCTCTATTTTAAAATATATTTTTTATTTTCTTTACTATTTGATTAGTTTAATATGGTTATCAATGTCATTATAGCCGCTTAGAAAGTGAGAACGGAAGGGTGTGTCTTTCGAACGGCTGGCCTGCAGCACGCGCCCCATGCCTTCCGTCGTGCTTTGACTGCACGCGCGCGTTCAAGGTGAACGGACTCCGAAGCGTTGTCAAGGGTGGTAGGCTCGCGCTGGAGGCGGGACCACTGAAGCTGCTCCCTACCGTTCTCACATTGTCAGACAATTGGGAAACTTGTTAGTCAGCGCTGCGAGTCTGTTGTATCCTTCTTGTGTGCCTTTGAGTGTGACTGTATATCCGCGCTGTTCCATCCAAGCAAGAAACACATTTAGTCGAGGTGTACTATGCTCAATAAAAAGTCAGCAGAAAGTATGTGGCTTTTGTATTGACACTGGCTACAACGAGTCAACTGAACATATTCAACACGATGTAAACAGAGCGTCTGCAGTCATTCTGATGACACTGTCAACAGGAATTCAACGGAAAAAAAAAATCAACGTAAAGTTAATAGAAAATCAACAGCTTTTCTTTTGACTCAGGCTGAAGAAAGTCATCAGAGCAGTTTCAACACAAAATCAACATACTTTCTGTTGACCATGTAAACAGGAAGTCAAAGTCAAAGGAAAGTAATCAGAGTCAACAAGAAGTCTACACGTTTTCAATAAAAAGTCAAAAATCATTTTCATAAGGGATAAGGTATTCGCTAGAATCCCAAATGACTAACGAGTAATGTCCTTATTATTCTCCGGTATCTCCTATCAAATTACGTTACCCGTTACAGTCTCAGAATAAAAGGGTATATTCTTACACCCCTTGTCCCATATACGACACCCCAAAACTTCAGTTCGACGTACACCGCTGACGTCAAACTGTATATATCACCGTACATATCACCGTTCTCAAGCCCCTTGTAAACGTTGGGGCCGTCTCTTCGACATCAGTGCGTTGTCCGTCGAACTGAAGTTTCGGGGTCTCATATACAAGACAAGGGGTGTGAGAATATCCCATTTTTTTTAGAGTGTACTCCTTACTTTTCATTAAAAATGGCCGCAAATTTGTTTGAAAACAAAATAATTTTTATTCTGTACACTACGTATGAATGGCAAAGAAACCCCAACAAAATCATGTATATGCGGATCTTCAAACTCCTTCGAAGACACTTTTAACGTTCCCACGACCGGGCCCAAAATACGCGGGATTATCGCCGCGTGGAACGCCTAAGCGGTGGCGGTGGCTCATAACACCCACTTGCTCCCCCCCCCCCCCCCCCTCCCCCCCCCCCCCCCCCCCGTAAACGCCGCTACACGGCAGCCGAGTTTTCGCTAAAGTGTCTTTCGATAAACAGTCGACGTATGCTAAAATGTCGTTTGACCAACTGAGTGCCACCCCCCATGAGCAGTCGCCTCGCTGGAAAGAGACATCTGTTCAGAAGGCAACAGTCTGCCGCCGCTCGAAGGTTTTTGCCTCAGCGTCCCTAGCTAGTCCAGCTGGTCACATCCTTCCCTTCAAAGCAAATGAACTATTGTTCTGTCAACAACGAAAAGAATAAACTCTTAAGTTCGGAAGCGTTGACGTTCCCACGCTTAAAAAAAAAAAAAGAAAGAAACAAGTGTGTCGGCGGTGGCCGAGTGCTGACGTGTCGTTGATTGGAAATGCGACGTTGGTATGTGGAGGAATAAAAGAACCTTCATTTTTGTTATGTTGGGGCGTCTCGGCCCGTATATTGAGGGAGACCACTTCAGTCGCTGGCTGAGTATGAACTGCTTTATTCCTACGATCTTCGTACGGCCCAGCCTGCTCGCGTTGCGGGCGGCTCGGGTAACCCGATCTCCGGATGCCGCGGCGGCGGGATGGCGGCACTACGTGATCGCCCGAGTGGCGCCGTAGAGAGTTCCACAAAGAGGCGGAATGTTGCTCGTATTATACATAACATCCCTTCCTCCTCAGATTGAGTCACCGTCCGGGGGACGCCGTTCGCGCTGGGGTCTTGGCACCGCAGTGGAAACTGGCGCTGACTCGTTCTTCCGCTGGTCGGCAGGTACCGTGTCGCACAAGTCAGATCGCGCGGCAGCTCCATCTTGGGACTCGGGCGCTGGAGGTCGATTGGATTCGG